CCTGCTTCTTCTCAATCTATGCACACACCTGGGATGCGAACCTTTGCCTCAACTCTTACTAAACATAGCTGGTAATCCAGGCCTTCAGAAAGCTGTATTTGGCAAGGGCCAAAAACCCCTACAACTGCCAGCGCGCATATTACAAGTTTGGCCGTTGCCATAATGATGGGCAAAATGTCATATGCCAAAGCATGCACATCCCAGATTGTTGAGTAACATGTTCGTTGGTGTACCCTGCTGCAAATGGTTGGGACCTGATCGTGTGTGGCATGCGTATATAAGCTGTTTAATATTTTCAGTCACAGTAACTCCTCTTGACATTTATTGTTGTGGGAGTAAGGTATGTTAAGGGGCAGACTGAGCGGTAGACGTTGAACAGATTCATTTCAATATAAACCAAAAAGCATGCTAGTCATCACTGCCGCGGGGCAGGCAATTTACATGGTCGTTCGAGACAGTAGGTCTATCGTATACCCGATCCCATCTGATAAAATCTCAGCGGCTTGAGCGCTTAAAGTCCTTTTCAAAACCTTCAATAATGTGTCTGTTGACTTAAGCGGCTGTATCTGTACTCGAAATCTGCTGACAGTATTGAGTAATAATTATCATAACCGGTCATTTCGGCATAAGTCGCTTAATTATTTCACTTACGCACGACTATGAAGCCAACACAGGCTGCTGAACGAGGCGTCACATTGTCGTTTGCTCCAAGGAACTGACCAATGCGTATAGTCGTTGCTATTGCAAATCCCAGCGGAAACTAGGTAATACATAAAAGGCAACAAACTGGTTGTTACTAAAGAAGGAATTGCAGACATTGTTAAACACCGTTTCACTACAGACATAGATATGAGTGGGCAAAATACGTGGGTAAATGTCCTAGAATTCAATGAATACGGTTATATTATCGAAAATTGTAGATTAACTGTCTTTTGTTCACTTGGGGATTAAAAATAATTAACACCATGTGAAAGTTACTCTGTGGCTTCAGAGTTCTTGGACCGCAGAGTCGTAGAGCCTATAATTAGGCACCAAGATCGCATCCTGTCGACTTTGTTTGAGAATATTTGAGGCTTCGTCGAGTTTGCTCTCTTGTTCATGGGTGAACGCTCAGTTTTAAAAGAAACCTGTTTAGGAAGCTGTGTTTGTGGCCGTTTGGGAGAACCGTAAGGAAACGCTGAAGGTCCTGTTCAATTTTTCAGTGCCAGACTGCTTATCCTTTTAATATTCTCTTCCTTATTAGTATTTATCTTACTGCAAATTCAGTTTTCCCTAATTTCAGCTTCTTCCTCAAAATAAGTATCTGAAAAACCCAGCAAAGTTTTCTCTGTGGGGTTTTCTATAAGGTTGGGCAACTTTCTGAGATAAGGATCGCTTTTAATTTGATTTAGAAATTTCTATGATATATGATGGTTTTTTAATTATAAGACCTGTATTTACGTTTTCATTAAACAGAGATTTCCGTAGTCTACTAACCAGGACATAGACGACAGATTCCACATTGTTTAGTATTGTCTGAACCGCGAGGTCCTTCTCGCCTAATATACCTGAATGAAAAGGGAAGTTTGCAAAGGGTAAATAAATAATGATCCGCACGCATCAGTACAAAGGGCATAAAGTATAAATTAAGGAATATGGGACCGAATGTATGAGGTATAAAAATCTAAAGTGATCTTAAAAATTATGTGAAGATACAGGCGAAAGTAAACCTATCACAGTATATAGAGGATACAGTTTGCTAAGTAGTCGAAATGCTACCTTCCTGAAATTCTTTGCAGTTAGAATTTAATTGCAATTACTTGCACAAAAGAAACAACAAATTTGTTAATAAATACGTGTGTCTAACTATAAAAGCTGCAACATTTCATGCTAAACAAGGCAAATAATAACCGTTCTTGATAAAGTGAATAAAAATTACGCAGTTACAATACATGACTGCTATCAAAAGTCTTTTCTACTACATAAAAATTATGTTAGCAGCATTCTAACAATACACACTGTCATCGTAGTCATTGCTTTAAGCAATGTATCAAATGCAACGTAACGTCCCCCAAACATCGCTTCTGCGATGTGTGTTCATTTCACGTTAACCAAGAGAAAAGTCGATATCGGGGCATTATACGACATTCTCTGACTAAATACTTCATACTATTTTGAGAATATGCACTTAGATACGTGAATGGAAAAGCCTATAGTAATACAAACGGCCTAATGTTAAGTTAAAAGAGATGCGTCTAATACCGTGTCCCAATGCCAATTTGAAATGTAAACCTGATCCAAACCTCAATTCTAGCGTCAACTCTGTACATAACTCTAAGCTTAACGCTGCCCTAGACCTAAACTACTCCTTAATCTTAATCCTGACCGTGCAATCCCTGGAAATGAACGCAATAAAATCATTCTTCTATGATTACTTCCTATTCCCGTGTCTCATCGAATATGCAGACCAAATTTGGTAATAACAACAGACGATATTTTCCCGTATTTCACCTTAAGTCTATTTCGTTTCCATTTTTTTATATTATCCACTAATAGTACCAGCACTTAATTAAGTAAAAAATGTAAAAACGGGATTCACAATTACCCTTTTCGTCTTTTCTTCTATCGATTTAATGAGTTAAATCTGACTTAACTGATTTAAGATGACACAATAAACAAAAGAGCATATACTTCCACGTTGACCTACTACACAAGTTCGTTTATTTATATGCACATTCCGACATAGACAGTCTTCAATATGGCACAGTCCTTTTCACACTCGCCTGAAGCCAAGCTGCCAGATTCGCAAACCCACCACTCCATGCCGGTCATGACGAGTCCGGCAAGGCCAAGGCGCATCCAGATTCCCCAGTCGTGCCACAGTTCGATGCGAACTCCTAACGAAGTAGAAATACTCGCGTAAACGTACGATAGAATAACGATTAATTCTTAAATATTCTTTTGGGCCTTAACGCACGAATGGAAAAGGACATAATGTGATTAATCTCTTTAATTAAACACTATAAGAATGTAATTCGCGGCTGTATATGGTTGGCTATCGGTCGAGCTTTTTGATCTCCGGGCAAGTGTGGCAGGCTTTCCCGAGCAAAATTTTAACGAATAGAAATAGACCATGTACAATAGTAATTTCAGCAATCTGACGAGCGTCTACCCAAAATCAGAAATCCGGGAGTCAAGGCTACTATTGGCGACAAAAAGTTACGTTGTATGAGTATATCAATGAAACATCCAGCCCACGCTAATCGCTGAGTATTGAGAGGTTACTTGCTTCGGGTGCTGTGGTATAAAAAACAGTATCTAAAAATTAAAAGTCAGGGGAAAATCGATTATAGGCAATGCTTACTATTGAGAAGAAGAAGACTCGATCGCTGGGAAAATACGGTTATTCGCCTGACGTTTTGGCATCCGTCGCGGATTCATTATCAGAGACATGAGTAGGGGACAGTAGCAGAAAT